GAGTAGCTGGGACCACAGGCTCCCACCACAATGCCTGGCCATTTTTTGGTTGGAGTTGTCATTGTTTCTAGGCCTGGCTGGGCTTGAACCTATCACCCTCAGTGTATGTGGCTGGCGCCCTTACTCACTGAGCTCCAGGTGCCAAGCTGGTGCCAAACTTGTTTCCAAAGTGGCTATGTCATATAGCCATTTTAGTGGTTGTGAAGTGACCGCAGAATTAATTGGAATTTGATTTGTGTTTCCTTAATAATTAATGTTGATAATCCTTTTATGTGCTTATTTACCATTCATGTATTTTTGGTGAAGATCTATCCAAATTTTTTGCCCTTTTTTTACATTAGGGTGAGATTCACATATCCTAGAATAATTATTTAGGATAATATGGTGTTTTATTTTTTTGAGAAAGAGTCTCACTCTGTCAGCCTTGGTAGAGTGTCTTGGTGTCACAGCTCATAGCAACCTCCAACTCATGGGCTTAAGTGATTCTCTTGCCTCACCCTCCTACGTAGCTGAGACTATAGGCGCCTGCCACAAGGCCTTGCAGCTGGGAACCACCACCCTCAGGCGCTGAGCCTAGATACAATTATTTTTAAAATAAACGAGAGGCATTTACCAAGATTGGCGGGTTCAAACGCAGGTGAGCTAAAACAACAATGACAACTGCAACAAAAAATAGCTGGGTGTTGTGGTGGGTGCCTGTAGTCCCAGCTACTTGGGAGGCTGAGGCCAGAGAATGGCTGAAGCCCAGGACTTTTTTGGTTTTTTTTTTGCAGTTTTTGGCCAGGCCTGGGTTTGAACCTGCTACCTCTGGCATATGGGGCCGGTGCCTTACTCCTTTGAACCACAGGTGCTGCTCAAAGCCCAGGACTTTGAGGCTGCTGTGAGCTGTGACGTCTTGGCACCCTATCAAGGGCGACATAGTGAGACTCTTGTCTCAGAAAAAGAAAAGAATTCTGAAAACTTGTCATTAAATGTTATATTGATCATCTTTCTTTTTGTTAAAACTATCTGTATTAGTTTTCTCAAGTAAAATTTGTACGTGTCAAATATATGTATGTGTTTAGGTTTTCTTTTTTTTTCTTTTTTTGGGAGACAGTGTCACTATGTCACCCAGGCTAGAGTGCCATGGCCTCGGCCTAGCTCATAGCAGCCTCAAACTTCTGGGCTTACGTGATCCTCCTGCCAGGTCTTGGAGGTAACTTGGACTATAAGTACCTGCTACTATGCCCAGCTAATTTTTCTATTTTTAGTAGAGATGGGGTCTGGAATATTCAAGTGATCCTCCCACTGTGGCCTCCTAGAATGCTAAGGTTACAGTAGTGAGCCATTACCCCTTGCCTTTCAGTTTTTTTTAAAGGAAAAGAAAAGCCCCAGGATATTGAATATCTGTTGTTTATTCTTTTTTTTTAAATTTTCTCTATATATGTACATGTGTTTATTTGGTTTCCACTTTTTGCTTTCACAAAATTTAAGAGGCTCAAAATTCAATAACAATAACAATGTTTAAGGACTAGAAACAAAAACCTCGTAAAGAACGAATGAAGATAAATACAATCAGAAAAGAAATCAGATGATTGCTGCAATGAAATATTGAGCAATAATAATAATGCAATAAAAGTAACATTCACATTGTCAGATAAAATTATGTCTATCATTGAATGCTTTGACTCTGAGTTCAGTGTGAAGTTATCAGTTAACTTCTTTTTTTTCCCCCCCAAAGTCTCAAAAATTAGAGAATATTTATTTATTTATTGTAGTTTTTTGACTGGGGCTGGGTTTGAACCCACCACCTCCAGCATGTGGGGCTGGCGCCCTACTCCTTTGAGCCATAGGTGCCACCTAAGAATATTTATTTTTATAAATAAAAAATAGAAGTTAATTTCAAAAAACAGATCATACCAAATCTTATAGGCAATAGAAAAAGAAGAAATACTTCAAAATCATTCTACTTCATCTGCATATACCTGATACTAAAATTGGAAAAAATATATTATTGTACAGAGAAATTACAAACATATTTCACTTATAAATGAGGATGCAATATCCTAAGCAACATAGAGCAGACAGAGAGAGAAGGAGGGAGGGGGTGAGGGAAAGGAAAAAAAAAAAGAAAAGAAAATGGTGACTAATTCTCACATAAACTGGGAGGCGCCTGTGGCTCAGTGAGTAAGGTGCCGGCCCCATATACCGAGGGTGGCGGGTTCAAACCCAGCCCCGGCCAAACTGCAACAAAAAATAGCCGGGCGTTGTGGC